ATAGGTTAATGTAATTGTAGATTTGTTTAGATTTGTAGTTGCAGTTTGCACTGCAGGGCCACCGTAAAGTAGGTTTAATTTTCTTTTTATATATTTTGAAACACAATCTCCCATTGGACCTGGAGCAGAATAAAAACCAAGGCATAGATGCCAGTCCTGGCTGCACGTGGGAGCCGGCTTGCTTGGACTCGTAATAAATCACGGGATACCCAAAGCTACTTAGGATACATCGGACCTGTCTTTCAAAACAGGCAAATAGAAGGCTGCATTTGTTGACCCATAAAGAGGAGTATTCCAATCCAATCCAAACTTGCCAACGATTATACATTTTAAAAACAGCTTTTATAAATCCAGCTTCGATAAGTTGTGCGTACAGACTTGCATTTGAAAATGTGTTGTAGAGAAGATGATGCTGCGATAGAACCAGAACCATCAACAATAGACAGTTGATCAGTAAATGAACCAGGTGTGATGACTAAAGACTACAGTCCAAACAAACGACAAAGACTGTAGAGCCACTACTTTGGATAAATACATGTGTTTATTTGAAGAGTTGTTATTTTTACTTAAATCCAGAGTTCAGCTACTGAAAACTAAAACGATTTCTGACAGAAAAATCATACAGGAATAATATCTATAGAGTTAGGGTAATCTATCTTGGTGTTTTTAGCTGTCTTGAACTTGTTTAGGTGATCTTGGAGAACAGTGCTTTCTTTAAGAGAAACCTGGAGGCACATCATTTATCTGCAATGTCATCAGAACTGTCCCTGGAGTCGGTCTATAAATACAGTGTCAGCCTCCGAGGTGATTCTCCTCTGATATTGAGACCTTTTCCCCTTAAACTTTAGAGCACATAAGGTGATTAGGAACAAACTGTCAAACTGCCAGCTTTCATAAAACACATTTTTAATCCACTGTGTAATATCCACACCATATACAACCAACTGGGAGAAAGTGTTTGTTTTTCTCTTTTATTGTCAAAGAGTTTTGTTTATTTTAACCTGGATGTTGTGTGACATTGAATAAACAATCAAATGTCCTGCTGGCTGATTAATAACCCTTCAGAATGCTTGCTGGAGTCTTTTAAAGTCAAGCTGATGCATTTCCAGATATCCTCACATCTGTGTAAACCTATATGCTGCTATTTAGTGTGAGTAATGTGGTTTAGTCATTATGTATGATAGATGTTGATAGGTCTGTTGGTGGTTTATCATAATTTTTCACTGTATATTAAGGGTACTGTACCTAAGTGGAGCGTGGGAGAAGGAATAGCAGTGTATTTATGCAGTACGTTCTGGCCATGCTGCCCTGATGCAGAATCTAAAAGGCCCGTCATGTTGGCTGTGTAGTGTTGGCATAATTTCTTAGAAATATTGCAGTAACTAGACATAATCTGGAGTTGGGGCAAAGCATTAAAGGGGAGTTTATGGGCATGTTTGTGAGAATTAGTTTGGATTTCTTTTTGAACATGTCCTTTGTACGAGCGAAAATAAAAATTGAGTTACACACCAAGAGCATCTCAGATTTCACTGAAAAGGCATTTAGAGATTTGCCTAAACACTTTCCAAAACAGCTTGTAATTGATGGAGAACGTAGCGGGTTCTCCATCCAGCATGAAGGCTGTGCTGCTACTGTATCTTGGAGGAAAGAGAAAAGAGCATTAACAGGTGGAAAAGAAGTAGTATTTATTTATTTATTTTTTTTAATAAGAAGCTACTTTTT